AAAAAAAAAAAAAAAAAAAAAAGACAGCCCCAATCAAAAAGAACAAAAGTACAAATCCACACTTCTTATCCATTGATTGTTGTAGCTACTATCCCCAGCAGTTGTTGAATTATAAAATTCTTGCTAGATGGGACACATAAACCTAATTTGCTTCTGACACATCAAAGGAACAACCTGAAACTTTCTACCTCCAGTGGCATTTATAACTCTGGCATACACATTTCTCCAAAAAGCTATGTCTTTTTGACATCCGTTGGCTCTCTTGGCAGGACAACACTTTTGCTTGGTGCCAGCTTTCCTCTTAGCTTGCACAGCTATAAATTGCCAAGTGATGGTTTGTAAAGGGAGATCCCTTCTTTGTAGTCTCATCAATGAAGAAGAAGACGCAAATATCAGACTTCTTACCTTGAACTGACAGACGCAAGTCACAGTGTCTCCAATTCTTAAACATTCCCCATCAAATTTACAGGTGTTGGTGTCACAGAGGAAGAGATCATTTTCTCTGTCATCATAACCTCAAATTTAAAGAAAATATTCCAGTCATTTAAAGATGTTACAGATTTTAAAAACAACCACAACAAAAGCACTATCTTGCAGCTTTAAAAGAATTGCTCTAAATTTTTATTCCATTAACCACAGCTGTATTGCAAGGTCATTCTCTACTGATAACCTCCAAAATCTAGTTAAGTGATCAATATTCATTTCTTTTTTTTCACAATTCTTTTTTAATGAATTATCTTTTAATATTCTCTTTTGATTGTGCTATTTTATTTTAGCCAGAGTTAATACTGGCAGCAGTGAATGAAGGTTTATAACTTGATCCCCAGCTTCTTTATTTTTTTTCTCATTAAGTAGAGTACAGTTTATGACCCCCCCCCCCCACCAAGCCTACATTTTAGAAAAAAGCTGTTGATGGTCTCTGAATGTCATTTTACCATTTTTCCATCCTTAATCATTCTTTTGCCTTAAGGTCTGAAGCAACCCCTTATTTGGAATTTCTCCAGACAAAGAGGAAACAAAGCCCCAATAATAAAGATAAACAGGCACAGTGTTTTCTGTGATGGTCTGTCTGGCTCAAATGAAGATTGATCACCTCTAAGTTAACAGGGTGGAGGGGGGTGCCAGGTTCTTGAAAACCTGCCTTGAAAACAAGTTTATTCTCTTTAGTCTCTGCAAATCTCCTTAAGATATCCGGCTCATAGTACATCTCTTGATTGCCAACCTCAATTTCCCATTTAAGTTAGTTATTTCCTAAAGCGATACTGTACTTGGGATGAAGCAAACCAGGCATGTTGGTCTACAAAGCTGTGACCATTCATTTCAAGCACAGGTTGTTTCATAGCCCTATGATAAAGCACCTAAAAAAGTGACCAGACACCTGAAAACTGGAACTTAGCTTTTCAAAAATAACATACATGCGCCCATGAACTAGGAATAAGTTAAAGAAGACATGCTAAATTTTATAAAAATACCAAAGTTAGAAATTGCCAAAAACAGAACAAAGGCAATCTATTGACCCAAATCTAACAGGGTGCAAATCTCAACCTGTCTTTAAAAAAGCACAAACTATCATGATGCATAATAATGTTCCTCATGGCAGTAACAACCTAGGACTACATGTTCTTTCATCCTATGAGTTACAGTTGGCCATTCCCACCTCTCCAAAGTTACACACACTTCAGCTCACATACATCCCTGGAAGCCACTTTGTTCAGAGCCAGATTTAACTACAGCAGAATTATATTTACAGAAGATGAAAAATTACGTGCACGCTTGCTAAAACTAGAACAGACCAGACCTAGGGGACAATACCCAGGCATGTGAATGCAATTTAAAATGCCAATGAAATCACACCACAATCCCGCCCGGGTATACTCTGGGCTGTCACACTGAAATGCAAAGCCAGCCCGGAGTACAGCAACTCCCATCCTCGGGCCCTATGTACTTGGGAGGCTTCGGCTGAGCAAAGCCTGCCAAGCTCTCGCGTTCAGACTCTGAAGGGACCCCGGCAAGCAAGAAGAGCGCCGGACCCACTCGGAGGAAGCTTGCCCAGAAATGGAGTCAGCCCGGGGTCGGTTCCGCCCGCCCGCAGGAGCCTGCCCGCCTCGGCTATGCCCACCCAGGCCTGGGAGACCGACGACTGATTCTTTTCTCAACTTCCCTTCCCCATCAGCAGCTTGGGGAGGCAAGAGAGAAGCATCTCTGGGCTGCAAAAACACGTCTTTGAAGGAGGATGTGGGAGAGAGGAAGAGACGGAGAGAGGGAAAGGGAGAGAGAAAGGGGAAGACAGAGAGAGATATTGATTCTCTTAAACCCCAAGCTCCTTTAGAATCCGTGTGACCTGGTCTTGAAAGCAAGACCAGGGCACCCCATGGCACTTTTGCCAGAAATCAGTGTTTCCCCTGCAGTCACTCTTGGATTTATCGCTTTCTCGCTTGTTCCTTCCCATAAAGTTATTTCTCGTTCGTTTTAGCTAGACTTTTTCCTTTCATGATGGAAAGGTTCTGTTTTAGTCCCCACCCCCCA